CACTATTTCATAATGAAACTTTTTCACTATGCACCAGCTTCATGATATGTCTATTTCATAAATCACTATGCACCAGCTTCATGATATGAAACMTTTGAACAATGATGAATTACATGAACCTTAATAACATATAAAATTAAATAAAACTGTTTCATCATGAAACTAATTATTCARYCTCAAGTCAAATATGAAATGAAACTGTTTCACCAACATCAACCCCTTTCATAAACTATTTCGTACTGAAACATTTGTTCATCAAAAGTGTTGCATTATCATTAATTCCATTTTCAATATAATGAAACTGTTTCACTATTATATATTGAATCATTTATAAAATGAAAAAGTGTATTACGAAAATGAAACTGTTTCATTTTACTAAACCCATTTCACGAATCTTGCATCTCTTAGAATATGAATTTTTTTTTACATCATGACAATGTTTCATTGATATATATAATATGCTTTGAAGACTAAYATAAGTCATTTACACATGAAACACACATGAAACCTTGTTCATGACTATAGAGTGTAATGAATATTTGTTTTTTTTTTCACCTGCAGCAACCCACGATTTCATCAATATATTTGATGAAATCTTCGTAATTTGTTTCATTATTCATTATAGTTATCATTAAAATAATGATTTTAATAATATAATTTCCTTATATATTGAAACGTTTCCTTTCTTCAATATTTATTTTATTTAATTTCCTTATATAATATGAATTAATAACTTCCATAATTACGAAATATGTGTACAAAATGTCATAAATACCCTTATTATTTAAATTTAATTGAAAACAAATGGAATTTTCTTATTGGTCGAATTTGATTTACACGGTTTTTTAGAATTGAACGGTTCGCATTTGAACCTGCCCCTATATATATATATATATATATATATATATAAATATAAATCGTGGTAGATAATTTTTCTAGGTCTTTTTGGTTTTCTTTTGTTAAAGTATAAGGATAAGGTTTTTGATAGTGCAACTGTTTTTTTATAATTTGTTAAACACTCAGTTTGGTTATTTTGTTAAGATTTTTTTGTAGTGACAATGGAACCGAATATGTAAAAAAAAAAACAGTTTTTGAAAGCTAGTTGTGTAATTCACCAGACATCCTTTGCATATACATACTGACAAAATGAGGCAACGAAACATAAATATAAGCACCTGCTTAATGTTGCAAGAGCTCTTATGTTTTACGGAGAGGTTTCCTTAGATATGTGGAGTGAGGGGCTGTTTGTTTGGCTCTTAATGGTGACATTAAGAACCAACCTCTTAATCGGTAAGAGGTAAAGTGTGTTTGGCAAAAAAAAACAGGCCTCTTAATGGTTACACAAGCCTCTTAACCATTTTGAGGGTAGGGCTTCACTAAACCATTCAGATTACATTTGTTCCCTCTTTACCCTTCCACCCCCCTTTACCAGCAGCGCTCATCGTCTCCTTCACATTGTCGTCGCCTTGCACATATTACCGGTTATCGCCTCCATCTTCTCCATCGCCGGTGACCTCCGCCGTCTGTGTCGTCGGTCGCGCTTTCCACAGCTTCGCCGGTCGCTTCTATCAGGTAACTTCTGTCTCCCGTTATCTTCCGTTTGGTCACCGGTCGCTAGTCGCCGGTCGCCGGTTAGATCTTCTCTTTTTTGAAGATTGCTATCACTTTTTCTTACTAGATCTTCTGTTTAGATCTTGCTATTTAGATGGGGTTTTTTGAAGATTGCTATCACTTTTTCAGTTTAGAGTTAAAATGTGTATCTGAAACCATTAATAAAATGGTTTAAATGGTTTCCTCTATCTGAAACCATCCTCTTCCCTCACCCAATTTCAGATTTCCTCTATCACTTTTGAAGATTGCTACTGCTTTTTCATCTTCTATTTACAATGTGTATCGAAGATTGCTACTGCTTTTTCATTTTCTGTTTACAATTTTCAAAGGATATAAATAACAGAGGAACATTGCTATTTAGAGTTGAGGCATGTTGTTGCACTAAAAAAGGATATAAATAAGCTAAGGATGGTAACAATTGTAAACAGATCTTGTAGAAATTATGTTTATTGTTTGTTTATTCGTTTGCTAAACTTTATGTTACTTTGTACTTTATAAAATTGTTTGGACTAGGTATGAAATTAGTTGGTGAATCTTCGCAATACGAGGTATTGGCTTGCTGATTTTCGACGACAACGTGCCTTGACCAAAGAAGAAAGGTTCAACCATGCTCATGCGCAACTCAGAAACGTTATCGAGCGTGCCTATGGTGTCTTGAAGGCAAGATTTCCAATTTTAAAGCAAATGGCTCCCTATCCGTTTCCCATACAAAGGAACGTTGTGATTGCTTGTTTTGCGGTTCATAATTTTATACGAAAATGCAATATCCACGATCAGTTATTCATGGATTATGACAAGGACCCCATGTTTATTGCCGAGGGACAAGAAGGAATCGAGGGAGGCGATGAAGATGACATGGATGGAATGCCTTTTGGCACTCAAAACAATCAATATATGACTAATTTACGTGACCAGATTGCGAATCAATTAATGTTAAATCCGTCAAATTAAGAATTGTTAAAAAACTATTATGTTGGAATTTGGATTGTTATGTTTTTGTTTATTCCTAAA